CTGTAAATCAGTGTCAAGACTTCCATAACAATACACTTGAAGCTTGAGTTTCTGATGTTAAAGGTGGGGTAGGTAAGTTTGAGAAACCGGCTCGAGATACACTTTTTGTTATATTCCATGGAATGATCTTAACATCCCGATAGCAATGAATATCTTAAGTGCTTTGACAAAAAATACATACAAAAATGTCATCTGTGGAAGCCGTAGTACTGTAAAAAGCACAACCAATCGTTTTAGCCGGCCCGGCTAAAATAACTGGTGCACAGACTTATCTCGTGCCCTCATTGGTCATGTGCGCGTTTGTGTGTGTTGGAGGAGGGGCTCTGTAAGGAAGTGGCAGATCTTTTCCGGCTGTGTATTTTCAAATTCTAGCGCACTCGAGCTGGTTTCTCCAAAATGACCTACCCCACCTTTAAGTACAACAAATATTTCACTGATAATATTCTTCTTTTACTAAGAGAATAGTCCTAGTACAATAGTATTATAGTATAATAAAATGATTGAAACTATGTCACTATATTTGAAATATAAGAGATGATACATTTTCCCTCTAAGTCCTGCATCAAAATATGAATACAATAATTAGTAACGCTAGAACTAATGGCTTTCTGTGACCATATACTTGTACGTATGTATAATGTCATAACTACAGTAGGTCTCTGTCAAATTATGTAAGGAAAACCTCAAATTATACCAAGCAGGACTCAAGTCTCTAATTTTAGCATCTTATCAGGAGCCGCTCCAAGTAATATCTTTAATTAACTTAAAGTTTTTCAGTTGATATAACATGATTATTCTATAGACACAAGAAAATGTAACACTTGGTGTCAACGTCCACTGCCTTTGTCTTCTTCTGATTTGTGATGACAAGCAATAAGAAACTAATCCGATGCACTCAGAGCTCACAGTACGTAAAGTAAAAATAGAATAGATAAAAGGTCAGGTATAGACTCCCACACTGTCTTTATAATTAGGAGGAATGTATCATTTTGGTAAGCAAGAAAAACAGCAACCTATCTTCCACTCTACACTGTTTTAAGATGAAGTATCTAATTTGCTTCATCATACATCTGCTAAGAATATAGTTGAATTGATTTGGAGGATTTAATAAAGAATTTGGATCAAATGTAATTAGTTCTTAGTGGGTAATTGTGACGCCCGCATCAGCACTCATTCACTGTCTCATAGTTTAAGTAATCATGGTACGCCACGACAGTCTACAATACTTGTAATGATTATTGGTGTATTTAATTGAGGTTTCACACTTAAACTATAACAATAGAGCAGAAATAAAAAGGGATTGCTGCACCACGATGTTTGAGGGATGTGCAAGCGTGATAAACAAAACCTATTTCTTCCGACTGGATTTGTAGCTGAGAATTGTTTTTGACAGGGATGAAAATACTTTTGAAATTAGCTATCTTCTTTCAGTATCGCAAAATCAGTTTTTCATCTTAATTTAGATCAAATTGTAATACAAGGCTCTTTTGCCCAGAACCTTGAACTGTGTTCCTTTAAATTGAAATCACAGAATATCAGTCAGTACTCACTTTGTAACTTTAAATGAGAGATGAAACATGAGATATCAGGATTAAATGTTTTCTTCTTTCCCCAGTTATTGCAAAAATAAAACTCGCTCAAGAGCTTCAAAAGCGAGGGAGGAAGAAATAAATGGAAGCAGAGGAAAGATCAAAATACGCTGAGGTTGATGAAAGAACACAGCTGAAGATTTATTACAGAAAGATTGCAAAGGAAAATGAAATGAGAAAGAAACAGCAACAAGAATCAAAAGATGCCAGCGGGCTTTGGCATCTGAAGTGAGGGCTCTCATGTCACTGTAGTGACTGAGCGAGCGAGAGGAACACAGAGAAGGTAATCGTGGAGGGTACACAGTAGCCTCTGGCAGGCATAATGAAAAGGTCAAGGAAACTTGACAGAGGTATAACACAGACACTCGAAACACAGCAGAGGTTGATAGATTAAGTTAGGAAGACTTTGTAGAGAATAAAGCTCAGGAAGAGACCAAGAAAGAGAGGGGTGGTACATTTACAGTATTCGTATAAAGTCATTGGGTGAACAATTGAATATTGGGTACCAGGTTGGGATTACATGCACTCCTGTAATACATGCAATTAATTTGCTCGTGCTTTGGTATGAACATACTTCATTTTTACATTACAGTACATTACATGTCACTTGTTAGATGCTTTTATCCAAAGCGACTTACATACTCAATACTGTGGGCAATCCCCACAGGAGCAATTTGGGGTGAAGTGTCTTGCCCAGGGACACAACGACATACCAAGGCTCTATCCACTGCGCCACACGCCTCCGTATTAATAGCATTGTCAGTTAGAATAGATAAGACTTAAAATGGATTGATTTGCTAGCTAAATAAATATTTGTTTATTTTAAGTGTTACACTTGTCATTCATAAATACAACCGTGCCTTTTCATATGTATTTCATTCCACATACTGTATTGATGAAGGCTCCGACTGAAATGTACAACATCTTTTAAACCTTTATTGTGTTCAGGCACTTTAAGTCTGTCTATCAACCTTGAATCCAAAGAACACCTTCAAGTGACAAATCTGGTATTTACTTGGACTTACATAATTTAAAAGTCAAGACATCTAACAATCTCGATGTCAGGAGTACATAGTGAATACATGTGAAGAGTTTTCTAAGATAAAAGACTTCTCTACTGTAAACCTCTGAGCCCACAAGTCTCTGATGTCTCTATGGCAGGTAAGGAAAAGCGATATAATGAAGGCTTTCTTTGTTTCGACATAAAATATCAGAAGATCTAAAGGCAATAAGAAAATATATAAGTTAAAGAAGACATATCATGCTTATTTCAGGTTCAAACGTATATTTTGGGTTTCTAGAAGAACAGGTTTACATGCTTTGATGTTCAAAAAATATATTATTTTCTTATTCTGTATGTATGAGTGCACCTGTGTTGACCCTCTGTCTGAAACTCCCTACTGTCTCTTTGAGCCCCCCTCCGAAAAAGCCCAGTCTGATTGACTTGTGAGAAAAACATAGCATCTCTAGGTAGCCCACAGTCATTTAATTCAGAATACAGATTCATGTGCACATTTTCAAACACAACTTCAGTAAATCATATGTTAAATAGTTTGATATAAAAAGCACCCATCAAAATACTTTATAGATGATTTTCATCTAACCATATGACCTTATCATATACTATAAAAAGACATGTGGATAACACGGTTAAGCCAGTCTTTTTGTCTCGTCCATTCACCCTTTTTTCATATTGTGCATAAAAGCATTTAGAGAAAGTAACTTGGGAAAAAAGCACTTCACAGATAAGGTGACGGAGAATGGATGCTGCAGTGTGACGGATGGGCGGAGAAGCACACAGTTTGAAAGAGACTCTCGAAAATGACCTTTTTGCTCTTTCTCCTCGCATTGCACAAGCCTATAATTTTCTGTCTCCAACCTTTGCTGTGAATCAATGCAGCCGGCAATAATCCAGCTTCGGGTTCAGAGGATTCATATTATTTTGACATTAACATGATGAGTTGTGGTCACACACTGAATGCTTTCACAGAATAATGATGTGTGGTGTGAGTTTGGAGAGCTGAGAAAGAAATACGATTTCAATTTAAAAGCAGAAATGTTAGTAATCAGGCAGCTATTGTACGTGTTACCAAACCCAACAATTATCTGTGCTGTGCTAGCCAGATGATTTTGCAGTCAGTGAATCTATAAATAAGTAAGTATGTTTTTGCCCATTGCAAACCCAATTGTACATGCAACACAGGCACTTTATGACTGTGGTTTAAAGTTTGAGTGCTCTCTAATATCGTAGACATACGAACTTGATCTATGCTCTTATCTCTGTCAAACTACATTAAAGTGGCACAAGAGACTTACAGTACAGATTAAACCAAATGGGTATATTGATTTAAACTTGCTCTGAAAGTTTTCCATAACTTAAGGATACATATCATAGTACTGTAGTTAAGTTTGGCTTTTTACTTTACAGCATAATATGGTTTGTGAACCTAAACGCAGGGTAGTTCTGACTATCCCGTTACACACACACTTTGCTGGATTAACAATCCTAACCAAACAGACAGTTAAGATATTTTAAAGAGGCCCTATTATATCATTTTTGGGGTTTCTCTTTCCTGTAGTGTGGTATGTTTGTGTGCATGTAAATGGTGTGCAATTGCGGAAATCCCTGAGTTCCCTCCAGAGGAAGTTTTTCTCCCACACACAGGACATCGAAGCGGTTGACCAATCACAACAGAGCCAGCCAGCTAACCAATCAGAGCAGACTGGACTCTTGTTTCAGACAGAGGGTGTAAATAGGTGCTGCAGCACAGGCAGTATTTCTATAGATGAACAAACAGCTTTTTACTTTTAATCTAAAGGATTTGTGATATCCTACCCAACAACACACCACCAAACTTCGAACTCAGCATGAGTCTAATAAGCCAGAATGATTGAACACACCCATCTGTGCACTATCTTTAAAATAGAGGTACTATTACGAGTGTGAACATTCCTTAAAGTACTATACTACCTTGTTGTTCTAGGGTGACTTATTATTATATACTTGAGAAGCCAAAATAAACTCGTAACGTGAACAAATGATCCGAGGCTGAAGAAAGAACCTCACTTTCAAAGATTTATGTGGTGGGCCATCATTTGTCTCCCTCTTGGGTTTAATTTTAAATTGGGTTACACTGAGACATACTACTGTGTTTTTGTCTATTACCTTGAGCTATTTGCAAGGTTTTATAGGTAGCCTTGTGGAGGCTTAAAATCTCTGAAAGGGAAACGGCCGATGGTACTAAGTGCACTATGACTATGACAAAATGCACATGGGTAAAGTGCAATTCCACAATAAAGTGGTCCTTAGTTGATCACCTCAGACCTCCTTTACAGCAACATGTCAGCACAAACAAGATGTACTTTGTCAACCAGTAACTACTGTTTCTGTTTCTGTCCTCCATTTTTCAGAAGTCTGCTGGATAAAGACACATTCTCCAAGTCGGATCCATGTAAGTACAATATACACTCTGTTTGAATGTCTGTGCTCTTCTGTCCAGGTACTTTCATCTGTAAAAGTACAGCCTTCTGTCCTTCTCCAATTTTGTTTTTCCCTTTTTCTCACTCTGTTATTTTTGGGATATATTGCCCTGTGATTTGGGAAATCTTTGTTGTGTTGTTTGTTCACTGTAGTGGAGCTAAAACCCTCACATAGATTTCCAATTTGGAATCTGACTGCATTTCTCTGATTGTCCCTCTCCCCTTTTCTTTCTCTTTGCCCCTCCTTTTATTCACAATATTGCATTTCTTTCTGCCTCTCTCTGGTTCCTTTTTACAGTATGCGTGCTCTATACGCAAGGTGTTGAAACCAAACAGTGGAGAGAGGTGAGTGTACACAACCAAACACACACGCATGCGCAAACACACACTAATAGAATGAAATTGCTTATGTCCAATTAAGTTCCCGCTGTGCTCACTGTGTGTTTATTATGATTGTGTGTCGTGTAAAGACATTTCAATTCTTTAGTTTTTTCCTTTGACTGAGAGCATGGAGCAGTCGGGCTTAACACTTCATTAAAAGGTGTTCAGCCATCAGTTGTCCAAAGATACCAGGGAAATATTCTCTAATTGGAGGCTTCAGCCAACAAAGAAGCCTCACAGTGTAATGATCAATATGTTGACGCTGTGAGATCCAAACACATGCTGGGATGGCTTTACCCAAACATTAACACTTTGCTCTTTTCCCTCTCTATTTCTTAATATTACCTTCATTTACTCACTATTCACTAAATTGTTAAACATTTGTTTTGTCCACAAATCTCGATAAAGACCAAACCTACAATTCATTGATACGTACAGTAGAGTCACATTTTTGTCTTGAGTCTATTAATTCTCATCCAAATAAAGTCCCTGCAGATCCCAGAGATGTAATTCTTGGTCATATCTCACAGGTTTTCTATATTTAATATTTATAATTTTTCATGATTTTGTCAATCCATTTGTTCATTATGATTAGGGGGTTGAAAACTGTAAAGTTTATTTTGCTTTGCGTATTGTTTTCCATAAACCACAGTGGCCAGCTGTTTAAGTAAATAACATAGCCTTTTAAAATATGTATCTATATATTTTAAGGATTTCTGTTGGGAGGTCTGAAAGCATTGTGAGACGGTATGATTCTTTTAGTCCTTTTCCACTTGTACGATGAGAAAGTTAAGGTGTGACATTTCTGATAAATGAGAGTGGCGACACTACATAGATAGACTACGTAGATTTAGTGTCACAAAGTGTGAAATGCTGCCACTGAGCAGCGATTGTTCTGGTCAGAAAGTACTTGCTGGTTTTTGTTAACTGGGATAACAATTTCACACGTAGAGAATGAAAAAGATCATGATAAATATCCAGAGAGGGATTTTTTGCTTTGTTTGTGTTATTTGGTTTTGCTTGCGCCTATGACCCTTCATGCATCAATAAATAATGGCAATTCTGAACAATTGTTTTTTTTTCAAACTGCTGTTTTTTTTCTGTGTATCCCTGCAAATGTCTCTTGTGAGTGTGTTAAAGTCAAAATATAATTCTGTGCATGCTTATGCATTCCCGTAACAGAGAGGTTGTATTGGATGTCGGCCCTCATATTTGACATCTGTATTCACCCAATGCAAATTGTCAATGCATCTTCTGTAATTGTTAGAGCTATTATTTATACAGCCCTGGTCTGCTGTGGATGTTTAATGGATCATCGTGCACTGGGATTCATATGTATTTATACAGTCAGATGACCCTCATCTCCTGCTTGTGTGTTTACCAGTCGAAGCAGATGGCTGTGTGGGTTTTGCTGAAATATAGCTGAGGGACTGAGAAGGATGATGTTGTGAATGTGTGAAAATGTGTTAGCATATGTGTATATATATACATGGGCGTACACATATGTAAAGATCTTTACATCAGTAAACTCTCGTTCGCACTTCTTACGAAATAGACTTTGTTTTTTGGCAGACAACTACCAAGTATAAGACAATATGTTAATCCAATCAACAAGAAATAATTCATATAATGAGAATTTCACTTTAGTGTACTTTCTCATTATATATTTTTCTTGATGTTTGAAGCACTGATTTCATCCTGGAGATAAACTATGACAGCCATAATGATGGTGCTGTGTGTTGTGGCTCCAGGTTATGAGAACACTCCCAAAACTCAGACTGAACAATCAAAGCCCAACAGGTGACTCATCCGTGACTGCTTAATAACATTTTCTGACAGGACCCTCCAGCGTACCCTTCAGGCTTGGGTCACATTTGATAATGATTTACACCTCGATCAGTTTTTGTTGTGTGTCGTGTAAATGCACTATTTGCTCCAACCCGGTATCACGGCAAGACGTGAACATGTGACGATCTACCATGCTGGGAGACGTGAATATGTCACGGTTTCGTCCCTTCAAACGTGACAGTTACACGGTATTGTTAACATGGCCCAACCAGTGGAGAAATACCCGGAAGTGCCAAGCAAATGGTCTACCGCGCCTATTGGTCGGTTTTTATTGTCAAAATGAGATGTTTTTAATTTATTTTTTAATCGTCACACTCGATTTCGCCGATTTTCTTGTTGCCCTAGCTGGTCGACACCTCTTTTAGCAGAAACAAAGGCTACATTAATGTATTAAATCGATGTTAATCCGACTGGTGTGGATATGGAATTAACGGACGTGACGTTGTGCGATTGCGTTGCCAGGCAACGCAATTTACAAACTCTTCAACTACAACCCTAATTATATTTTAAAACATTTTAGAAGGCCTCACGAAATACTTTAATGTAAATTAAAATGTAAATGTGAAGGGATGTGTGTAATGTATGTGGTGATTGACATTATTCACCCACGGATCTATGGGTTGGGGGTATTGTTCCGCACGGACATTTTAGTTAACCGGACTTACTGTTGATGTGAAATCCGAAAGAAAATGTAAAAAGAATAATAATACTTTATTCCGAGTTTGCTTGCTTTTCTCTTTGGAGGTCATCACATAACGGCATTGTAATACACGGTTCGGCTGCATTAAATATTACATATCTGCCGTAGTTCTGTATGTATAGAGCCCTGATGAGAAGACTTCTGGACAAACAGGAAGCACTGCCGCCAAAACTGAAAACGTTAGCCTATCTACCAATTGGATCAAATATAAAAGTCAGCCGAATTAGTATTGATACTGCAAGGAGACGTATTGTGTGAAAAGAAATGTAAGATGTTGTTTAATTGCTGATATATTTATGATCCACGTCACGTTTTTAGTTTTGGCGGCAGTGCTTCCTGTTTGTCCAGAAGTCTTCTCATCAGGGCTCTATACATACAGAACTACGGCAAATATGTAATATTTAATGCAGCCGAACCGTGTATTACAATGCCGTTATGTGATGACCTCCAAAGAGAAAAGCAAGCAAACTCGGAATAAAGTATTATTTTATTTTTAATTGTTTTTTCGGATTTCACATCAACAGTAAGTCCGGTTAACTAAAATGTCCGTGCGGAACAATACCCCCAACCCATAGAGCCGTGGGTGAATAATGTCAATCACCACATTACACCATAGACTGTATATATAAAGCATTACACACACCCCTTCACATTTACATTTTAATTTACATTAAAGTATTTCGTGAGGCCTTCTAAAATGTTTTTAAATATAATTAGGGTTGTAGTTGAAGAGTTTGTAAATTGCGTTGCCTGGCAACGCAATCGCACAACGTCACGTCCGTTAATTCCACATCCACACCAGTCTATGATCCACACACATGGATTAACATCGATTTAATACATTAATGTAGCCTTTGTTTCTGCTAAAAGAGGTGTCGACCAGCTAGGGCAACAAGAAAATCGGCGAAATCGAGTGTGACGATTAAAAAATAAATTAAAAACATCTCATTTTGACAATAAAAACCGACCAATAGGCGCGGTAGACCATTTGCTTGGCACTTCCGGGTATTTCTCCACTGGTTGGGCCATGTTAACAATACCGTGTAACTGTCACGTTTGAAGGGACAAAACCGTGACATATTCACGTCTCCCAGCATGGTAGATCGTCACATGTTCACGTCTTGCCGTGATACCGGGTTGATTTGCTCTCTGTGAGGTCTTTACTTGATATTTTCTGCAGTATGAAGGTCACAGGACCAAATCATCTGTGGTTTTCAACATTTTGGTTGCACATGATCATCTGTGCTGTAAGGTTAGAAAAGATTCTTCTTGGGGAATTTTATTCTATATATAGAAAGAAAAAGTTTCCTTGTCAAGGGGCTTAACTGTGTAAAGTGAAAGCTGTTAAAGGGGTAAAACAAGCTCTATTTGACATTTAATTTATCAGTTTTTGTGTATAATACTTCATATATTGACGAATTTCTTATGTATAAGAAGATTACCCACAATTATTATTCTGTCATTTTATTATTCCCACAAACTCAGTGAAATGCTAAGCGCACGCTAAGAAAAACAGACCTGGATGAACACACAAACCTGTCTACAAACAAGTTATAAACATTACTGTCCTTCTACACTACTGGCTGTCAAATATGGATAAATGGCAAAAAAATAAGCTCACTTAGTTTTCCTATCCTGAATATACTGTATATGTCTCTAAAGCTTTGGCATTCAGAAGAATTAATTAAACCAAAAGCGAAATAGGGCGGAAAACCTTTGGGTCTGAATAGTAAAGCCAATGCAGAAATGACTTAAAGTGGACCTATCATGCTATATTTGAATAATATATTGTAGGGCCATACCTATATAAAACATGTCTGTGAAGTTTTTTTTTTCAAAATACCAAACAGATCATGCATTTTAGCCATGCCTCATTTCGCTCTATTTGCTCTTTTCCATCCCTGTTTTTGCAAGGGCTGATTCTGTGGCAAATGAGCTGCAGCTGACCACGTCCCCCTGCAAAGGAGGGGGGCGAGGCATGAACGTCATGTTACCATGCTGTTACCATGCTGTTACCATGCCACGGCAACCTCTCATTCCCCCGATAGGTGGAGAGTACAGTATAGGCGGAGCTCCCTGTTTCTGACGTCAGAACAATTTCAAATCTGGATCAGTCTGTATCAGATCCGTTGCAGCCCCGTTTTTAGAGATTTGGGTATGGAGGAAAATAGAGAGGGTTGTGTTTTCTGACACTTGGTGAGTTCCCTGACACACCGGGGACACATATTCATGTATAAAAGACGTACAAAAGTGCATTTTGCATGATAGGTCCCCTTTAAATAATGGGTTCTCTAATGGCCAGAAGGAGGTGACTGGTTACAAAAATAATACAAAATGTGTCTATGAGAAAATGACCCTACTTGTCACTTGATTATTTTATTATTATCATCATTAATTATTTAGCTGACACTTTTATCACAATCGACTTACATACACTCAATCTCGTAGACATTCCTATGGGAGCAACTTGGACATGTTATCAGGTGGGAAAGGAAAACTCTAAAAGACATTTTGAAAAGTCATGTTTTTAATGATCGTCTGAAGAGACAGAGCAAGAGGAGGTTGAAGGTGGGAACAGTAGCTTCATTAAGATGTGGCACAGCTGACCTTTTCATCTTTTCGCACTGTCTAATGTTTCTCTGACGTCACATGCTGTGCTGTTGGTGTTCTCTGTCTCTACAAGGCAATACATTGATTTAACTGGAGTCCAGATTGTTGATGGCATTTGCATATTTCTTATACGAGGTAATTGTGTATCATGATATTACAAACATTAGACAATTCTATTGGAAGATAATACACTTATCATATTGAATTATCGTCCAGCTCTGGTCCACTCTAATCCACACTATCGTCATGGATCTCTCTGTCAGAACAAAGGACTAAGCTCATTATATCAGCACACATATTACAGTCTGCTTAACATGCTTCAAGGGAAGGAAAATCCGTGTTGGCCAAAGAGCTACAGGACATTCATTCAGAACAAATCCCCAGGGGTGTTTCGTGTGTGTCCTAGGGGAAAAGATAATAAAATCTTTGTCAAGTTTGGCACAAAAACCCACAAAAATAATGAAGAACTAGACATGACCTGTTGGCGCCTTTATTTTACACCATTCACCAACAGTGTGTGTGTAGGTGATTTTCTTCTGTCTTTATCTGTGTTTTGGGACATTCACATTTCAATATAAGACGCTGCTGGTGTCCCCAGTAGTTGTTGCTAGCCTGAAGAGTTCAATTTGCCATATGTGGACTGTACATGTGTTAGCTGCTCTGCGTGCGTGTGTGCGTGTGCGTGTGCGTGTGTGTGTGTGTGTGTGTGTGTTGAGGGTGCGGGTCAGGGACTTCATACCAGATTCTCATTAGACAGCTCCAGCAGCACAGCAGTATCTAATGAACTCCGCAGCACGGTATTGTCTCTTCCACTCAGCAGGGAAAATCACATTATGGAGCTCATCTTCGCTTTCACCCGCCTCTTTACTAACATGCGCTCACAGCCTCATCAACACCTCCGGGTCTCTTAGAAAGAATGGGTGGCTCACAGATTGAACATCAGTGTCCTTTTCTCTACTTTTCTCCCTCGCTCTGTTAAATTTAGATGTTCAGTCAGTGAGTTCACACAGAGAAAAATAGAACCTTAAAAGTTCAGAGAGGAGTTCAACACTGTAACAATACAGAAGTGTGTTGTTTTAGAGCACTTTGGTGACTTAATTGCCCACACTCTATTGTATTTGTTGCTTTTGCTGTATTGATTGACTTGACTTGGTTACCACACACATCCGCCCATAATGTGCAGTACCTGCTGTCCACATTATGGAACAACATCGACTCTTACTTGCAAATTACTTCCTTGACATTGATTTAAATGGAAGTTTGGCAGCTTTCCAATAAAACAGGCCATGTTTGGCAGGAACACAGTTGTTGTTTTAGTGCAGTCGTATGATATCCATCTTTATTGCACACTGCAAGCTAGAGACACAGAATGGCTAAACTCTGAGTCCAATTAGTGCCTGAATTGAATTACCACTTCATCAGTTTTAACAAAATGAATGAAGGAATAACATGAAGATTAATTTGATAAAGATAATTATGATAAACAACTCATTCAAATCTCACCAAGTCTTGATGACTGGAATCAAGAGTTGTTTGTTACTTTTCTTGAAATAAAAATAAAACAAAATGTCATGTGCACTCAACACATGCTGTGCAGTAGGGAAATTATATTTTACGAGTAGGGATGTCCCGATCCGATCACGTGATCGGGGATCGGAGCCGATCACGTGATTTTCACGTGATCGGGGATCGGGAGAAAAAAATCGGGGATCGGAATTTTTTTTTTTCTTTTTTATAAAATATTTTTATACATTTTATTTAATGTTACAAAACAAAAATGACCATGTTCACGTCTTAAAGTCATCCTGAGGCCTTAGTTTTGGGTTAAAATTACACAACATCATGTATGTGTTGCTTCTTTTGGGCTTGTTTTCATAGACCTGGTTGCTTATTTCTCTCAAATCTGGCAACAGTGGGCGCAGTGTCTAATAGTAGCAGTAAGCTAACAAGAGGCTATGTTCAGCTGGTGACTCGGGAGTCGGGACAGAGAAAATGTCAGGAGTTTGGAAGTATTATAAAATTGAAAGCGAAGGCAGTGTAACAGCCAGATGCAATGTTTGCAAGGCGGAGGTTCCGCGTGGTGGAAAGAACAGAGCTACGTTCAACATGACCAATCTAATACAAACACCACCAACAACAACACGACGAGTACACAGCGGCCACTCAGGTAACGGCACTGAAACAACCGACACTTTCAGAGACTTTTAAAAGGAAAGAGAAACTGCCCCAGAACAGTGAAAAGGCCAACAAAATAACAGCCAAGATAGCTGAATTCATCGCGTTGGATGACCAGCCGTTATCTGTTACCTTTTTTTTCCTCTTAATGCATTGCATAAAGATCGGATCGGGAAAAATCGGTATCGGCAGATTGTCAAAATCAAATGATCGGAATCGGATCGGGAGCAAAAAAAGGTGATCGGGACATCCCTATTTACGAGTAATCAAAGATGGAATATCAGCTGTCCCCCCTGAATGAAATCGTGATATGTCATATCTCACAGTCCAATTCACAAAAGGTATAACTGCAAAAGCCCCTATATTGCCTTGCACCACAAACACAATGGCGAAAGAAAAAGACAACATTTCCGGACTGCTTAACCATTAATAGGTAGAGACATTCTTCATAAATTCATTTTAGGAATTTAAGCTTAACAAAACAATTCCCATTTAGAATTGAACACCCCCTTTAGACTGTGTCCTTCAGTTAATACAAACGCTCTGAAGACACTAATCATTTGCAATGAGGACATTTGTATAGGAAGGAGCCAATTTTGCAACAAAAACGTGCATATTATTAATAGTTTGTAGTGCATTTAACCATTTGAGTGTGCTTTTAGAGCTTAATGCTTTTTTTTCATCTTATAAGTGCAGGTTTCGCATCTGCAAAAGCTGCACCATACTTTGGTGGATTTGATACTTGGTGGTCGCCCTGTATCAAATTCAAGGCATCATTATTTTGGTTAATATTTTGCTCAGTGGGTTCATATTCCTAGATGATTATCACACTGAGTACCTTGGGCTACTTAAAGTGGACCTATCATGCTATATTTGAATAATATAGTATAGGACCATACCTACTGTATATAAGGCATATTTATACTTTATTTTTTTCAAAATACCAAACAGATCATGCATTTTAGCCATGCCTCATTTTGCTCAATTTGACATTTTTTAGCTCTGTTTTTGCAAGGGCAGATTCAGTGAGAACAGCACCATCTACAGGCCTGACATATGTACTACAGCGTCTCCAGCGCTTTCGAACGGCAATGGCCGTGGCTGTCTCCTCCTGATTGGTGGAGTTGGCCCAATAGCCGTAGCGCCACTGTCCTGACGTCAGGACAGTGTTCATATCTGGATCAGTTTTTATCAGATCCGTTGCAGCCCCTTTTTTAGAGATTTGGGTATGGAGGAAAATAGAGAGGGTTGTGTTTACTGACACTTGGTCCTGGAACACCGGGGACACATATTCATGTATAAAAGACGTACAAAAGTGCATTTTGCATGATAGGTCCCCTTTAATGCTCTCTGTTAGCACTACAGTTTTTAAAATAAGCCATTCAAAGTCTTAGAATTAGTCAAGGAAGAATTGAGGAACCATATCAATGCCTTACTAATGTTGACTTCCTCCTTGTGTTCACCAACTGCTACCATCTTAAATCTTCAAATTTGGAGTACTTGATTAAAAAGTGTTATTCCAGGAAGCTTCCAAAGAATAATGTATGTATTGTTTCTTATATTGGAAACTCTTCATTGGCTTTCTGTTCAGTATATGCATTTGGCATTGCTGTATCTTTGCAGGCCATTTCTCTGGCATCATTTCCTGCACTTGGCACTTCAGGAGTGAACATCCCACTAATGAGGATGCCTTAATCTCTTCATTTCTCCCCCTCTCCCTTCCCACTCTTTTCCCACTCCCACTCTCCTCCCTCTTTATCTGTAGGAACCCTCCACTTCACTTCTACCTTTTTTTCCACATAAATCTTCTTTGTTTTTTCATCCCTCTCTTTTCTCTCAAAGTAGATTCTCTCCGTCTCTTTCTACACCTTTTCATCTCCTCTTGCTTTATCTCGGTCTCTCTGTGGGGTTGATGAGTGAGTTATCATGCTGTAATTAATGTGGCAGAGGAGCGAGGATCAAGGAAACACATCCCTGTCTTCCTCTGCAAAGCAGCGGCGTGTGAAAGTGCCTCCATTAATCAGGCCTCTGTGTATGCATGCATGATAAGTGAGAGTCTGACATAGAGAAATCACAAGCGGGAAACAAATAAAGTGGAAGGCGACAAAAAGCACTAAATGTATTTGTTTATTAAATTGGGTTTTGTTGTTTTGCTTTTCCTTTCATCATTTTTCTCCACCCACCTCTACTGTATCTGTCTTTCTATTTTCACAGTTTGGAAGAACAGAAGTGATAGACAACACCTTAAACCCAGACTTTGTTCGAAAGTACATCTTGGACTACTTTTTTGAGGAGAAGCAAAACCTTCGCTTCGACTTGTGAGTGATTTCCTTTGAAGTCGTATCAGCATTGTATCTCCTCTCCTGCCCTTTTTCTTCTTTCACTGTGATATATTTTTCTCTCCCTCTGATCCGTGCTTATTGAGAACCATGCGTCTAATTAAATGAAGAAGAAATGTTGTATCGCTGTATGGCTTGTCCAATTATATTGTTTAAGATAAGCATCAAAACCATCCAAGTTGGTCAAAGGCCATGCTAGCGTAAAAAACGTTCCTCAAACTCCTAAATAATGTTCTTTCATCAACATCGCATTGTATCTTACAGTCAAGAAATCTCCACACCTTTAGCTGGACACAGTTGTGACTTTAGCTAAAATCAGCATGTTTTGGCCTGAAATGAGAAGCATGCTTTTGTTTAAAATAATGACAAAAATGTAATGTAAAAAAATGTACCAAAGTTATTTGTAACCTGCGTGCTGTGCGAGATATAAAAGCTTGACAGGCTTGACAATAACAATGAGGTGCGATGTTTTTTTTAAAACCAGTAAATGTACATCCTGACAGATGTGTTCTGACATATATGCAACTTTCATATTCATTAGAGCCAATTGAAAGTTTGGAACTAGCAGTTTCTCTGTCTCTCATGAATTACCTAGTGCAATTACATCTCTTTCTAGAGTATTCATTCATCTTTCATATGTAGCGTGATGGTGGCCAGCATGAAGGGTTAACTGCCATCTCTTTACAGACTGAATGAACAGAAACGCTGCCTCAGCACTTGCTGTGGTTAAGCTTTTTCTAGGGATACAAATGTTCTCCATTTGAAATCAAATAAACCATTTTTCTCATAGCTCCTTCAACAGAATGACCCATCGCACAACCCTGCCTTTATATTTCTACAGCTATGGCACACAACGATATAAAAGTAGATGCAATTGGGCCACTCTACTGTCTTTTGATCGTTTATTCCAATTATAGTGAGAATAACTCATAAACATTGTATTATGTGGAGCTTGAATAATCTCCCGGCAAACAGGATGTATCCTTTCATCGGATGTTTAATCTTGGTACATCACATGTGCTCCGTTTCCTTCACTTTCATAGCTTTGTATTCACATGCAAATACGATCAGGTCCACCACTCATCATTATGGAAGAGAAAAAAGGGTCTTGTTGAACCCTTTGCGCAATTACTCTGCCCTACATATAGTAACATCTAAAAAGATACTAAAATCCCATCTTCTTTTTATCTTGGCTCATTCTCAATGTAAGTGTGTGATGTCTAATGTGATCACCCATCTTTTTTTTATCTCTCATGAATCCTCCTACCACTTTACATACACTGCTTTTCAATTTAGCTAATTACATTTTTCTCTCATTTGCTTTTATCCTGTTATCCATCTTTCCTCATGTTCGTTTTTTTGAAATCATACCCATCCCTTCACTAGAGGTTGCAGACACATGATGTCCTTAAAGCTAAAACTAAACACACAAACAAAACATCTGAACAACCAAAATACAATAAGTGTGGTCGAAGTATTATTTATGCTGCCAGTGTACATATCAGCATGGGGTTGTTTTAAATCAAAATGCCCCTACAGTACTTACATAGCGAAAAGTCTGCCTTACAGTTCTATGAGATAATAGTTTTTGATGCTTTGATTTTTTTCCCCTTCAGGTATGATGTCGACTCTAAAAGCCCAGACCTGTCCAAACATGTGAGTACCAACAATACAGTATTTTTGCTTTGAACCAGAGATAAATGGAGGCCAGGCTTGAGTCAAATTGAAATAAATGGCTCTAAAAATTAATCAAATAAATGTTGGTTAATGGTAATATGGTGTTTAATGGGATTTAAGATTGGCCAAACTCTTTTTATCTGTGGTGTAACGGTAGCAGTGTTTTTTCTATTGGGTGTTGCCTGCTGCATGGTATCTTCTTGATGGATTAAAACAAACCCTTATGTTTGCCTGATCATAGAAGTATCCAAATACAAAGATTTAGTTTTCTCTTTAATCAATGTATTAAGCAGGGGTTACCCATGCTTTAGTTTTGGTTAAATATGCTAATTATACTACGTTACATATATGAAAGAGTCTTATGTGGTCTTGTATTTGTATTTGTTATGTAAGTGTGAGTGCAGAGATAGGCATTGTGTAATTACTTGTTATAGAATCATGTAGAAATAGTTTGAATTATGCAATGCTTTTAAACGTTAGTTTCCAATTTCAGCACAGTATTACATTATTTCTGAAAAAGATAAGTTATTCTTATCCATGTGGCTGGAAACTATAGTGACAGAAAGCATTGACAAAAGTTCAAAATAATCAGTTTTGATGATTATTTGACGTATTTGGATGACCAGGGTTTGCATTTTTTCATCACTAGCTATCATTTTGCCTGTGTGCTAATGGATTTAGTCCTGGCACAGCATGTTGTGTTTACGCTCACACTTCGCCATCTTGAGCAGGGCTAGGAGTGCTTCAGTAGGTATTTGGTATAGTGTTGTTGTCCTGTATATGATGTGCCCTGTTGTTATTGTTGTTGTTATTGTCATTGCTGTTGTTGCTGCTGCTGCCCAACCAATCTGGAAGCCTGCAGAACTCAACGTAGGTCCCAGCGTCTCTCTCACTTCTGACACTGCATGGCTGCTGTCTCACATTAAAGATCTTTCATCAGGAGGAAGGATGGCGTCACTAATCAGAACCAAAAAAAGAAAGCCAAGCCCCCCATCTGTGCAGCTCTTAACCATCAGGGCCGTCTCAAAGGACTCCACAGCCGCCACGATATGAAAACAATACTCTGTCATTACCTCTATTAGCAGCTTCTGTAGCATGTTTTTGTAACATGATGAAGATGGATGAGATTTTCCGGGCGCTTTCTTGTAACAGTGAGCGGATCAGGGGGCAGAACAGACCTCACTGAAACACACTATAGCCCGATGTTGAATTATTTAGTGTGCATCTGTCTGTAAATGCCAAGGTTAAGGAGACTTTGGTTTGTCCCACATCCGTGCTGTGATTAGTTTAAAAAGGACAAAGCGAACACACAGTATGTCTTTGGGAGTTTGATATATTAATACTGGATGTTACTGAGATTGTTTCTGGTTTAACACATGATTATGATTTAAATGATGTCACTGTGCCCTACAGTGCTCTATAAATCATTGTCATTGTTCACGGTGCTATGAATCCCTCCATCGTCTCCCATTTATCCATTGTCCTTCACAATCCATTAAACCAGAGGTTTCCAACAGGTGGATTGCTGTCTACAAGTGTGGCCATTTTGAATGGGTGGAAATTCTACCCTGAAATTAACCTCTGTAATGGTGCTTACCAAGTACCATCTCCCACATCCTATTGACTATAGGCACTAATATCTTAACAAATAGCCTTTTGAGGTCGGCCTTGTGTCGTAGTGTTTATACCCTTTAAACAGTGCTTCCCCTCTCAGAGAATAGAGTAGTTTTGGTTATATATGGTGTTATACTCTAAATATGGTTTTAGTGAGAGGAATCCGTCTGAATTAGAAGAAACTGCAATCACAAAACTCCATTTAAAAAAAAAAAATGTTATGCCCTGATGGCCCTCTCTCTCTCTCTGGAGTTCTCATTCTCTCATTAAGCTCTAAGCCCCAGTTGTAATTAAACTATTTTCTAATTGTTAGCCCTGTGTCCACACAGCATATCATTCTTCTGGATTTGAATTCAAACTACAGGTGGGATGGATACAAATAAACTGAATTGGTTAAAAATACATCCAATGAAGTTTCTGGCTAGATCAGTTGGGAACCAATGCATCCAACCATCCTTACCATTGATTCCATTTCAACAAACTTTTCATTTCACATGTCTTTGTACAGAAAGAGAGGATTATTCATATTAAGGTTGACGGTGAGCCATCAAAGGTTGCAGTTTGTAATGCAAGCTATATTTATAAAATGGGTTCCCGACGTGACACCACTGCACTTAATGACATATGTGTTGTTTTGTATTTAACCAAAAAGGTTGTACAAAGAAAAACCTCGCTTATCGTAGTTTTGTGGTGATTCATTAGCTAGATGTCTAGCCTTTTCTAAAGGAGAATGAATGAGGAAGCTTCTTTGGCAGGATCAAATTCTAGCAGATTTTCATTTGCATGAGTTTCAGTGGTAGTAAGTGGTATTTTTAACCTGACTTTATTTCTTATCTTTCCACTTCCTTGCTTCTTTCTGTCCTTCCTTCCTCTCAGGACTTTTTGGGTCAGACGTTCTGTACTCTCGGGGAGATTGTTGGATCACCAGCCAGTCGACTGGAGAAATCAATGGGGTGAGTAAGAGCTTTCGGAACATTTCTCAATGACTAAATACCCCTGGCTCCAATTTGATTGAGTAACACCATACTGTGCTGAGTGGGGAGTTAAGACAGAAGAAAACAGCTTTGGACACAATGATTGTTCTGAGGTATAAGGTTAATAAACTTAACTTGATTTGTACTGAGACCGACCAGTACAAACTGCAAGGACTGATACAGCATTGTGAACAAGTCATAACGCAGCAATAGGACCACAGAGAGAGCATTAAGAGGAGGAAGAATGGGAAACACATTGTTGGTTTAGCAAGACATTGATCAGACAGAGAAGGAGAGGAAGTGAAGGGGAAACAACACATCCAAAGATGTTTTCCTCAGATAATTATTGTCATTAAAGAAAAGGGCAAATTGCAGAACAAAATTACACAAATTACAGCTCACCCCTTCAGCTTGTGCGCTCACACATGCTGAGAAAAATATCGTGTTATGTGTCCTTTAATCTGTCTTTATACATCTATCATCCATCATCATCATTATCAGTGTGATGGACTATTGTGTTATCCAGGTGAAGTCATTTAAATTCAGTCGCATTCAGTGAGATGTTGTGGTTCTCCTCGCTGAATAAGGCAATGTGAAGAACACAAGTGGGAAAAAATGAACACTGCATGAGCTATTGTCATTAACTAAACAAACCAATATTGGTCAACATGTGTCACTTAAACGAAATAAATAATATTTAAGATTACTAAAAAAAACGTTATTCTAAGCTGACATTGGAGAAAACTGAGATTGAACTGCAGATTTGATTTATTGTAGAATCTAATATGATTTAGTGTTTTTAAGTGTTTCAAAATAATACAACAGCCGGAACTGTATTGTAAGTTCAATTGTGCCTTTACAACAAGGATATAATGTACTGTATATTGGCCATCCCTACAACAGAAGAATACACACACACACACACACACACACACACACACACACACACACACACACACACACACACACACACACACACACACACACACACACACACACACACACACACACACACACACACACACACCACACACACACACACACACCACACACACACACACACACACACACACACACACACACACACACACACACACACACACACACACACACACACACACACACACACACCATGTATACATACATCACTTCAGGGGACATTACATTGACTTACATGCATTTCCTGGAGACTTATCCTAACCTTAACCATAACCAACACATGCCTAACCCTAACCCTTACCCTAAACCTAACCAAGTCTTCACCCTAAAATTAATGATTCCCCTCATGGGGACCTCCATATTGTCCCCATACGTGACTGTGTACAGATTTAGGTCCCCACAAGTATAGTAATGCTAGGCCACACACACACACACACCCACACCCACACACACACACACACACACACACACACACACACACACACACACACACACACACACACACACACACACACACACACACACACACACACACACACACACACAGAGTTATACATATTTTAGTAATTGATTTAATAAATCATGTTCCTAGGTCAAAGGGCACATAAATACATAAGAGCGCATTCAATTTTTTCCCCGCTCTCTTTTCTCTTGCTAATTGTAATAGCTTTCATCATCCTGAAATTAGTGCTTGTAGCATATTATAAGTCAGCAGCCGTCGAGATTTTAAAAGAGAGACGCATGTTCAGAAAGGTTGACTTTAATGACTGGAGAGTGTTTGTGTTTGTGAGGTCCACACACTGTCTACAATGTGGACACTCAAAACAAGCCTTAATCAATAGTCTAGATTGTAAACAGACGTGCAACAAGGTTTCCCTCAATACCAAACAGTTGTGCGGCCAAACATTGTTTCCAACATTGCTCATTATGTCAGCAAAGGCCCCCATGTTGATTAATGTTGCAGTTACTTGCATATTCTGCTATCACCTTATTGGGAAGTTTGTATTGTAAGGCACAACATAATTACCATTGACTACTAATGAAGGTGTCAGAATGTGTGGCCTCAATGGCCTCAATGGCCTCAACGTCACTCTTTGTCTACTGCACTGTATTATTTACAGATTCTCTTTGAGGCCTCTGAATCACACAGGGAACACACACAAAGCCACACACAGGCACAGAGTCACATTAATTTGCTGAACATGCCAGAATATGTGTGTGTGTGTGTGTATGTGTCTATATTCCTACACGACTATGAAAGCAATGTGGTGTGTGTACATGCATGCTCAGAGCTGTGCCTGTGTCAACTCTGGCATAAAGTTATACATGACAAATCATACAGCCTTTGATAAAGTCAGCCAAATCACACAACTTCATTTGAAACAAGTGAGACAGCTACTCAGACATCACAAGTTGTGATTTTCAGATTATCAACAAAAAAAGACGGAGTAATAAAGCGCTCCTGTAGGACAACTTCAACCACTACTTGCCCACTGGCAGGATGCCTGAATTGAAGTGTTCAAAATGGTAAACAATACAGATTTATAAACTAAATAAATGTGTCAAAATTTCTGTAACTATTGTTTTCGGTGTTATTTTGTGTTAATACATAAAGGTCCAGCCGGGCGGTTCTGTAAACAACTTCTGAGCGCCATCATTAATGACCGTCTCCTTGGCAACGTCAACTCCGTTCTCATTCACTCAGCAGGAATGGCTTGAGTCATGTTTTCTAGTGGAGTGTAAATGGACTTAGCTACAACCTAATTTTTTTCAGTAACCTTGTGTTTCAGAATGATAATCTTTATAAATGTGTAGCGTATATGCAATCATAACCGTCATTGAATTCAGGTTAGATTGAGCAGTCCTTGTGCAGACCCTAAACTTTGATGACATTACAATGTTTCAGTTTCTTTTTTTAACACCATCTTCAGCTGAAACAGAAATTACGATTGAATGATTGACCTTTTTTTGTAGCCAATATTTTCCCATTTCCAAGCCAAAAAAGCAACAGATGTGATTATTATAATGTTAATGATTGTTCTGTTTAGGTGTTCTAGTTCAAGGCATAAGCGGAATACTTAGTGGGTCATGTTAATGCGCTGAGGCCTAAATAATTTGTTGTGTTTTATCTGTAACAAGTCAAAATGTCTGCCGTGAGAATCATTATGGTATGTTTTTGAATCCCCAGTACACAAAAACTATGCTTACACTGCTGTTTAAAGATAATAGGATGCAACACATGACTTTTCCACTTCCTAAAATGGTAATGAAGCTAATTCATAAAGTGTGTGTGTGTGTGTGTGTGTGTGTGTGTGTGTGTGTGTGTGTGTGTGTGTGTGTGTGTGTGTGTGTGTGTGTGTGTGTGTGTGTGTGTGTGTGTGTGTGTGTGTGTGTGTGTGTGTGTGTGTGTGTGTACTTGTGAGAGAGAGGGATAAAAAGAAAAAACAGAGAGCTTCCGCCAAACAAGACATCTGTTTCATCTGAACATCAAAGGCCCTCTGCTCTTTTATGATTGCTTCAGATTTTACAATTCTCTCTTGCCACAGGCCTCATATTTTATTTAATAGATTAACAGTCTCTTGTCATTTATATTTACATAGAAGCAACAAACAATTTAAACTGACAGCAGAGTGACGAAGATAGCTGCCTTTGGTTTGATATTTCTGAAAAAACAACAACTTGTAATTAAATGAACAGAAGATGCTGTGAAAATGCGCGCATCTCACACATACTTCAGTGTGTAAGAAGAGATTCAGTGTTATATGCAAACAAAAATGTTTAAGTATCAAAAGTTAAACTGAGCCTGTCAAATTTATTCAAGCCTTCGCACTTCACACTGAAATATCAACTACCTGACAGACCGTAGCTTCTCGGTACAGCTAGGTGCCTTCTCCTCTGCCAAAGCCCCTCTTACCTGTGGGGTTCCCCAAGGCTCGATTCTGGGCCCCATCCTTTTTCTACTGTACATACTGCCCCTAGGTTCAATACTCACAAAACATAACATTCCCTTCCACTGCTACGCCGACGATGTACAGATATATCTGCCTCTCAAAGCAAATGTCACACACTCACTACAGCAGTTGATGGACTGCTTAGCAGAGATAAAATCCTGGCTGAGCAAAAACTTCCTCAACCTCAACGAGAGCAAGACCGAGGTCATCTTTTTTGGACCGCAACCTCCAGCCTCTCCGGTTGATTTTCTGGGCTCTATCAAAAAAAACATCCTCCCCTCGGTCATGAACCTTGGAGTGACCTTCACTAGCACTTTTAAATTAGACAAGCAGGTCAGCATCGTAGTAAAATCCTGCTTTTTTAAAATAAGACTATTGGCCAAAACCAAGTCGTATTTATCTTTTAATGACTTAGAAAGGGTTATTAACGCCTTTGTAACCTCGAGACTGGACTATTGTAACGCTCTGTATGTGGGTATGGACCAGGCCTCAATTAAACGCTTACAGCTAGTCCAAAACGCTGCTGCACGTTTGCTGACTGGCCACAAAAAGCGCGACCACATCACCCCTATTCTGGCCTCACTACACTGGCTTCCAGTTCGGTTCAGAATTGATTTTAAAATCCTTTTATTTGTTTTTAAAGCACTAAATGGGCTGGCTCCGGCCTATATAGCTGAACTGCTCCAGCGCTACACCCCAACAAGAGCTTTAAGGTCTGCTGACCAGCTGCTGCTGGTAGTGCCCAAGACCAGGCTCAAAACCCGAGGGCACCGAGCCTTCGCAGCAGCTGGCCCGAGGCTCTGGAACACTCTGCCCCTCCATGTGAGGTAGGCCCAGACCCTAGGGGTTTTTAAATCTAAACTAAAAACACACTTCTTCTCTCTGGCTTTCTAGTTAGAGCGGAGCACGACTCCTGACTTTTCCGTGTGTTTTATTTTTATTTTGTTTTTAAGATATATCTGTTGTAATTTATTGTCGTTTATTGTGATTTGTAGCAATGTGTTTTTATTACATGTACAGCACTTTGGCTCGACCAAAAATCGCTTTTAAATGTGCTATATAAATAAAACCTGATTTGATTTGATTTGA